GTGGCGATGTCCTGGTGCCCGGATTGCAGGTCGTATAATGCTTTTGTATTTGCTCTACCAAAGCGTGCCCAGACCATACCAATTTTGTTTTTAATCCATTGTTCTTTCCGTTTGGTAGCGCCATAAACGTCCTCTGATGCGTGTACAAGCTGCTGTGTGACAAAAGTATGGAGTCGTTGACGTAACGCTTGTATCTCTGAGTAGCCTTTTGACTGTGACTGTGAAGGCTGATCCTGATCCGGCTGTTCAAGCTGCTGCAATTGTTGGTGGACTTCCATCTCCAGCTGATGCCGCCTAGCTGCTGAAAGTTTAGAATATTCCTGGCATTTCCTACCCAGAAAGAAGAGGCCATTGTTAAACCAGCCAGTCTATTGTATGCTGAAACAATTGCTTTTGTGTGTGCCAAAACATCGAGCAATCCTTGATGTAACGCTGAAAGAGTTGCTGCCTTCAGACAGAAACATTAAGTTTATAGAATCCAGGTCCACGATCTGGTTTCTTACGAAAGGACAGAACAATCATGCACATTTTATGGTTAAGGCCTGGGTAAGGGCTGACCAGTGAAATTGCAGCCAAATGCAGCGATCCCCCCAGCTCCTCTGAGATGAGGATCAGATCTATTATATACCTTGACTGACCGTCAGTCCCACTCAAACCGTGAGCCTCAATTGAGTCGCCGAACGGAATCGAAAACTTTTAACGAGAGGCATAGATCTCTGATCATACACTCGTCCTACCATCTCACAAACCCAACAAAAAGAAAAACCAAACAAAAAACAACAACAACAAAAAAGCACGTTACAAGAGCCCGGATTTCTCACCAAAAAGAAAAAAGCACATTGCAGGAGCCAATCCGTACTGCAGACCTACTGATACTACTCGGTCTGAATGAGAGTGATCACTCCCAGTACATTTCCCCGCTTAGAAAGGAAATATGCTGCTCGTTTACAGCCGCAACTTTTGGCGGTCGGGGAAGGCTTGATACTAAGTTGGAAGTGCAACAGAGGAGGAATCCGGTGGGCCGAAGGAAAATGGGCAAATGGACTGCAAGTGTTCTTGCTGGTGCATCTGCTCATGTGTAAAATCGTGCGGACGAGACGAGGCAAATGGAGAAGGGGCCAAAAAACAGAAACAAAGTTTTACCCGCCAGATGGTTGACACCAGTTGAAACAGGCGCCTGCCTTGTTTTCGGACACAGGAGATCTCCATACACAAGGCAGGCGCCTGTTTCAAGGGGCGACTGCGTCCTTTCTTCGTCAGAAGTTGCATCTGCACCCTTTTTGAGGAAAGGAATAGTTGCAGCTTGAAAAGGGAACCCTGGCCTTTGAAGGGCATATACCTGTCTCTTATACACATCTAATATGCTGCTCGTTTACAGCCGCATCGAGGTCAATCCGCGGGCCTCGCGCACCTGTCTCTTATACACATCTAGATGTGTATAAGAGACAGGCAGCGGCGGGTGCTTGAGGGTTTCGCATTGATGCCGTGGGTAGTTGCCGCAACTTGTCGGCGGTGCTCCAGTACCGCTTCACGGTTACAGTGGAGCGGTGAGACAGCCACCACCTCGTCATTTTCATTGACACCAACCATCTTTGTCGAGCTTGGGAGGTACAGGAGTTGGCGAGTAGTCCCCATGGTTGGCACTTCAGATGATGTGCAAGATGGCCACTCTGGTGCTCGGCCAGTATGAAGGGAGAGACCTATCGAAGGAGAGAAAGTGAATGGGCGTGGGATTCGTGACAGTGTAGCCATGTTCATTCGATGATGTCAGCCGCCACAGACATGGATTGGGCGTTAGCTATAAGGAGACAAGCGGTGCATACGTGTCGGTCCTTTAACCTACAATATGGATCAGTAGAAATCCGTCGCTCCGTTGCAAAGTCTGAGCGCTGACCTCAAACCTCAAGTCAACAATAGCACCGCCGACTACCGCAGGCCGTAGGGCTGACATCCTCCAGCTCAGATAACGGCGGTCAGACGGGTGGTAGCAGGTGGCATCTGCGAGCCGACAATGCCAGGGGAATTCTAGCCCGGAGGATTGTAGTACGCAGAGCGATCACGTGTGCAGCTACAACTTGAACTGGAAACGTCTATTCTCCAATTTCTCCTTATGCGAGATTGGGTGCAACTTTTTCATCCCTAGCTCTGCATGGAACAGACCAGGACAATAACTTCGAGATTGTTTACACGCATATATTTATGGGTGTAACTACGCGGGAGTCACAGAAATGAGTTATAATTGCAGTATGGGCCAAGATACAGTTTGCAATTGCACTTTGGGCTCCGTACCTGGTCACAAAGCTGGGTTGTATACATTGCCCAAAAACTGCAGTTGCAAACTATATCTTGGCCCATACTGCAATTATAACTCGTTTTTGTGACTCCCATGTAGTTTCCCCTATATTTATACAATACCTTAGTCGCTGTGATAATTGTCACTAGACGAGCTACTGTATATATTTCGCTGTCCCTTCATTGCATTTCCGTCCTGTTATTTATGGACGACCAGATCTTTGGGTCAGCGACGATGGCATATCCCGAGAGGACGCCGAGGCCGAGAGAATTCGTTCATTGATTTCCTCTTGTTTTGAGGATGGAGTCTTAATACTTTTAGCACGCCCTTAATGAATGAGGCCATTCTACCATTACTTTCCTTTTCCTGGATACTTGGTCGCTGACGCATGCATGGTCTCTGCACAACCGATTTTGTGTGGCAAGGTCGACGGCGGGGATATTTTTATTTTATTTTAATGGCAGTACTGAAAACTGGAAGTAAATTAACGAACGATAAAAATGAATATAGGACACAGGATTATTATTATTTGAATTTATTTCTTCATTTTCGTCTGAGATTATGCTTCTCGCTGCTACAGCCCCAATCCAGCCTGTTTTATTGCTCCCATTATGACGCCTAGTTTTGGGTGTGGGCAACCGCGTTTATAATTGTTAAATTGTGTTATGAGCTCGTCGCATAGTGTTTGGCTGTTTTGGGGCTCGTCGCCTAGTTTCTGCTTCATGCTGCTCACAGGTTTGCTGCGTCGAGGCTTGTATCACGACAAATGGTCGTCATGATTTCATGGGACTTTACGGTGAACACGACGGTTCAAAATCCGGCTTGATATGATTTTCGGCTGGCATTGGACACCTCTAGGCTTCCTTGGCGAATGGCTCGACAATTCAGTTTCGATGCCCGGATCTTACCGTGGTTTGCAATGGCGTCAGTGCAGTATCCCAAGACACTTCTATCTCTGGGTCGATTTGAATATTTTTGGATACAGGTTAATCTCCGCTAAGGCGGGACGATGGTCGGTGATCACAATCATTTGATTTGAGATTCCCCGACCGTTTGCTGCCTTTGTTTGCTTCACATGTCATGGGCTGAGAGCCTGAGACTGGTTTTATTATCTGCACATCTGACTTTGGCGTCCGGCCGTCTGCTAAAGGGGGGGGCGGTGGGGGGGGTAATGTTTAGACCTACCTGCAACGTCGTGAGGTGAATCCGATTTTATCGAAATTGGGACCACACCTGATCCCAATTTCGATAAAATCGGATTCACTAGCGCCACGACCGTAGGCTTATGGTCAAGCCAACTATGCTCGGTGGGCGATAAAGCCAGTCACACTTGCAGGATCTGGCTACGGCAGCAAATTTGTGACTCGATACGGAGCTGAAGAGTCTAATCTAGCCGCTAGCCGTCAAGTAGTATCAGGGCTGGGCTGAGAGCCAGACCTTGAGGCTATACTGATACAGCCTCGAGGTCATTTGCAGCTGCTAACAGGTAACATAAGAGCGAAAAAAAAAAAAAAAAAAAAAAAGAGAGCCAGCCGTAGACAGGTCCACAATCATATAGGCGAGCCAGACCTACGAGGTTGGGATGCATTCAGCTCTAGTGCGAACAAGGCGAACAGGACGACCACTTGTCGCGACAAATGGACGGCGACCAAGACGAACACAGTCCACGTAGTTGGGAGCCTGGTGCCCATTCGTGCCACAGCTTGGAGGCGCTGCTTACTGGCAGACATGCACTTTCAGGCGTTAGAGAGAGAGAGAGAGAGAGAGAGAGAGAGAGAGAGAGAGAGAGAGAGAGAGAGAGGCATTATCTGCAACCGCCGTCAAAAAAAAAAAAAAAGCCTTCAGGCCAACGCCTTAAAACGGAACTTTCGCGGACGACTCAGTTGCCTTCACATCGCGCTGCAGGACCACACGGCGTTTTTATGCCTTTCTGACATCTATCGACTTGTTCTGCTCTGTAGCGCAGGAGGCCTTTTAAACAATAGAGGTTATTAAAAGTATTGAGAGTATGGGCCTCACTCCACTATAGAACCTTTCACAAAGTCATGTGTTTTACGAACAATGTCATGTGTTTTACGATTGTGACCACTTCGACCAGATGCATTTGAACAGATGCGACATTTTGAATGTATTTAGACAGAGTATAGACCAGATGCATTTGAAGTTTGAACACATCACACATCCGACATTCTGAATGTTTTTCGACAGAGTATGGGGCACAACTTCCGCTGCACAGGTGAAAGTTCTCCCACGATTTCAAGCAGGAAATTTTTCACACGTCAAGGCGCACTCGCCACCCTTCTTTTCCCCTTTTTCCACCATCCCCCTCCTTGCACAGTCTCCACCCCCCCCCCCCCCCCCCCCCCCCCCCCCCCCCCCCCTTCCTCAACTTTCTCTGCCCAATCACCCCCCCTCACCAACCCACTCCCCCACCTATTTATGCTTTCCCTTTCCCACCCGACAGAATGGCTCAGAAAATGAGGACGGATGAACGAAGATAAGGGCCATAAGGCATCGGGAAGCAAACCACGCAGGTATTCCAAAAGTCGAAGTCTCAACAAAAAAAAAAAAAAAAAAAAAAAAAAAAAAAAAAAAAAAAAAAAAAAAA